CTAGCTTGTATGGATCTCAGGAAGGGGGACCCTCTGTGTAGGTGCCCCCAAAACCTTTCTTGTCTCCTCCTTGCAGCAATTCTAAACTGCTTCTGCTGCATCTGGGGCTCTTCACAGCCATACAGAAAGCGACAGGATTTGCCCACAATTAATTGATTTGCTCCCACATAAGGAAACACTTTTGTATGCTGTATTTTGCACTGGCTACAGATCTGTAAAATTCAAAATTAGATATGCAATGGATTTCAAATTAAAATACACGTGAACTGCAGATGTTTCTTAAGTAATTTTTCAGTTGCTGTTTCTTCACTTATTTTTTTTTCTTGTTTTCAGAACTTTCACATATAGGTAACATTATTAAAACAGAAATGGGAGCATATCACACAAGCACATAGTAAAGGAGAAGTCTAGGGAAAAGCAAGGCCTCTTTCTACAAGCTCAGCATTAGGCACTGAAGAAAAAAATCAGTGTTGAACAGGACCCAAATTATTGCTCTCTTACAGTCATTAATCTTACAGACTTCATACATGCTAGAGAAGGAGGGCATTGAACAGACTGCAGCTAAAAAAGGAGGGCTAAGTAGCTTAATAAGTGAATTAAAGGAGCCAATTAAAGGAGCCAATGTCATACCCATACCGAATGGTGGTAGAAATGGTGGCACTGGAACACCAGACACGGTCCTGATATACTGTAGGTGAGTCCTATGTTTCTCTGAGACACAACCTCACCAGTGCCTCAACCCTCCCGTATCTGCAGCTTTTAAGTGAGTTCAGTTTAAACAATACTAAGGATTTTGGTAGTCCATTACCACTGCATCTCCGTGCTTATCACCGTGCCAACTGCTTATCAGTGTGGAAGGGAGTTGCTCTTGGTGGTGGGAAGAACATACAAATGAGCTGCCTGATCTTTGAGTTGCTCTATGTAAGCAGTGTCAGGATGAGCTCCACCCTGACATCTGGTGGTGAGGTGTGGCAAGTTGTGGAAAAGAACTTCAGGGGCGGATCTCATTTGCATAGGCACACCCATCCCGCCTAGAATGAGGCCATAGCTGCCCAAATGGTCACTTTGGCTGCTGTGGGATCCCCAGCGTCTCTGTTATTGGGGCAGGAAGAATAAATTGTTGTTACGCTGATTATGGGAACTGTGCTTGGAACTGCACTTGGCCTTTTGTTATGATGGAGGGACTCACCATCAACTAAGTAGCACTCGCTAGGCAAGGGTCATGGGTTTTAAAACTCTGAAGGGAGAGAGGCTGGGGACAAGTATTAATACTTGGTGGTATGGGCCCCTTGGTGAGGGCCTTCCATGCTAATTGCACTTCCTCCTCTCTCCACTGTGGAATATCAGAGCTAATTTTGATTCCATTAGGAGTCTAGTTACAGGCTGCTGAGCTCACTTTGGGCTAATAGTGCACCAGCACTGAGGCTCCCCTACTACAAGGTGAATTCACCAAAGAGCTGAACTGACTAAGAGCTGAAATCACTGAGCGTTGTGTTAAGTAGTGCGGGAGCCTGAAGATATATTGTGGAGCAGTTTGCGGGATGGCTGGAGTGCCTTGTGGACAGGCTGGTGGAGCAGTTCGTGGGACAGCGGGAGCTGCTTGTGGGCTGTGGAGCGGAGCTGAGCGAAGGAGTTCGTGGGGCGGCTGGCAGAGCGGAGCGGAGGCCTATGGAGCTGTGGGGCGGTCAGCTTCAGATCATGTAAGGTGCCTCTTACCCCTGTCCCATCTCCACCCAGGTTGGGAGGTAAAGCTCCACAGATAAACTTTCGAACTCTGGGGCTGCCCTGACCAGAGTCTTTTGGGTCATTGGACTTTTGGGACTTTGGGTGATTTGGGGTTGCTGGACTCAAGAACCAAAGGGAAAGGGGCATGCCCCAATTTGCTTGGGGTAGGTTTTTTTTGCTCATGGGTTGTGTTATGAATCCTGTTGGTGGTGTTTCCCCAACATAATGCCACATTGTTTCTCTCTGTTATTAAAAGGCTTTTTGCTACACTCAGACTATGTGCTTGCGAGAGGGGAAGTATTGCCTCTTGGAGGTGCCCAGCGGGGGTGGTATATATTTGTCCCAGGTCACTGGGTGGGGGCTCGAGCCGGTTTGCATTGTGTTATTGGAATGGATCCCCTAGATATTGAACCCGGCCTTTGTTGCTGCCAACTCTGACGGGCAGAAGGGTTACATATATATGGATCCTCACTCTATACCTATTGCACTGTTATGGGGAAGTAGAGATCGTCAGGGATCTCTGACTATATTACAAAAAAAAATATGTGGTGAGGTGATTGGGGAATTATGAGAAAGGATCAAATCGTCCCGACCCCAATAGTCATGAGGTGTTGTGTGTCCTCTGCTTCAGTGACCTTAACTTCACTCCCTGACTGTTTTGGAGCTGAGATGTCAGAAATATTGTGTACCCTAGTGAAACAAGTGCTATATACCATGTGACAGCTGGAGCTGGCGAGACACGGATTTTGTCTCTTTACTGGGGGTATGTTTGGGCACCCAAATACTAGGATAATAGGCACTGTCGTAAGAACTTAGATAGGGAAACTGCATCGGTCTCTTCTAGGATTTGAGTTTGCCTCCATTGCAGTAGAGTCCCGTAAGACTCCAGACAGCTTCAGGGCTCAATTCCTTGGGCAAGCCTTTGGCCTATATGATTAAAATGGTTCAGCATTATTCTACAGGCTGAGTAGTTCCCATTGACTTCATTAGAATTTACCTGTATACTTCAGCCGGAGAGCGTTGCTAGAGTCTAATTTCATATCCACTATTTCTGCTTAAATAGTCAAAATTCCAGTACTTGTCGGAATGGATGTGCCTGTGCGGCATCCTGAAAAGTTGAGGCTCATTTCTATATGGAAGAAACATCTGTATTTTGGGACAACAGAACTGCCTTTCACCTGCTGGGGAAAATACAAACCAACAGGAAACAGTGACTCTCGTTAAGCTGGTTAATACAAACCAATGTTTTGTTAGCACTGGTTGATCCAGTTTGCCTAGGGCTATATTTGCACTAGAGAAGGGAATTATTGGAAATTGAACTGCTTGGATAGAAACAGTTTCAGCACAAACAGTTCAGTGTGTCCATTTTAGTCACACTGAAGGACATCAGAACCTTGCATTTTTGCCCCATATCCACAACCACTATTTTAAACCATTTCCATTGCAATGCCATCCAGGTACTATTCCTATAATTACTGGCCCAACTGGCATCAAAAGTGGATTCTGGAATAATTTGAAAGGGTACTGATGCACTGCAGAATAGTACCGAGGGGACCAAGAAGAAACATTTTAGCACGTCCAAATCCATGCTGGCAATGAAACAGCTCAGACTGAAGTGGTTTACGCTATACTGGTTCTTAGACCTATTGAAAAGCTAGTCTACCCCCAACAGTTTTTAGAATCCATGTAAACCAGATGAAACATCCTTGTATGAGGTCATGGATGGTTTATAAATCTTGGAGATTAGAATGGTTTACAAAGGTACATTTCTCTAGTATAGAGATAGGTAGGGGCTATGGCAAGTGGGGACTTTTTTTTGTCTTTGTTTGCACTAATGTCTGTAATTGTTTTTTCTAAAATGGTTCAAACACAGTGGCAATGATTTAATATTCTAGCTGTTATTCTTGGTTTAAAAATATTTACATTCCTTCCCCCTCTATCCCCCTCCACCAAAAAAAAACCCCCTCTCAACACAAATGTAGAATGGACATTATAGAATAAGAATAGGGTACCTGTATGTAGTGGTAATGTCCTGGTAGGGTGACCAGACAGCAAGTGTGAAAAATTGGGACAGGGGGTGGGAGGTAATAGGAGCCTATGTAAGAAAAAGACCCCAAAATCGGGACTGTCTCTATAAAATCGGGACATTTGATCACCCTATGTCCTGGGGAAATGCTTAAAAATTGCTGGATTTAAGTGACTTAGACTTGGTGCTGCTGCTCTGAATGAATCCTCTCTTTAAGAAATTATTTTAGATCTGGTTTAGTTATCGCAGCCAAGTTACTTAATTTCACAGATTGCTTGGAATGCTTGTTTGTTGTTTAAAAAAAAAATCAGTGAAGGTTCATAGTTATGGGTGATAAATGTGGATCAGATGTTCCTGATATTATCAGATTCTTTATTATTGTTTTATTTTTATCGGTTATGAAATTATCAGTAACTTTAACTGTTCTGATTATTTAAATCAGTTACAAAAGTAAGCCTGCTACAGAAATACCATTATGACATCAAATGCAGAAAAGGAGATTTGACAGTCCCTCCTTTACTTGAGGAAAGAATTAACTGTTTATAATATACTTTTTTCCTTCAATAGACAAACAACAAATACCAACAAGTCTGTGGTTTATAGTTCCAGTCATCTTTCTAATAATTTATAATTGTCCTGAAGACAATTATTCTCTGAAATTAACTGTCTTATTGTAAACCTTGAAATTTAGCTTAACAATATCTGTTTCTTCCACTAAAACTGAGCTATCAGAAGTACTGTGTTTTATTTAACCTCCCCTCTCTTGGCCTCCATCATGTCCCCACCAATGTGGTATTTATTAAGCTAATGTTATTAAAGGAAAACAGATATGTTGTGTTTTGAAAATATATTCATGACCTCTGGTTTCAATTTGTTTTTGTGTAGACACCAGATAGTTTCATCCCTGGTGTAATTTCATTGTGATTATTAATTAAGTGAATTGACTTAAATGACTGAAGTTACATTAGGGATATATTTGGTCCACAGTGTTACTAATTCAAAATGCCAAACATAGTTTCTAGCACGAAAAAAATGAACAGTTGTTTCTCCATTTGAAATTCCATTAAATATGGAAATTCACAGGTAATAATCCTAAATGTAAAACAGCATTATTCTTACTTTAAAAATAATTATTCCAAGATCAGTTGATGTATGCTGTGCTTTATGACCCACTTTCATCATTGTAAAGTTACTTTATATTGTATTTGTTTTAAGTTACTTTACTCAACTTTAATTATTTTTTTTCCAGATCTTCAGTGTTTGAGAAGTTATCAGTTTTTTCCTACTCGAAGAATGCAGTGAAACCATTTGCCAGCATTATTATCTGGAATTATAGGTTTGATATCCAGCATCAGTGTTACTAATTTCTTATTAAATAGTACCTCACAGTAGTAGAAAAATGTATGGAAGTGCAAGAACAATCAGTAATTTGGAAGGCAGTCCTTCCAGGTCTCCTCGTTTGCCAAGATCTCCTCGTCTGGGCCACAGGAGAACAAGCAGCGGGGGAGGAACAGGTAAGACACTATCAATGGAAAACATCCAGTCCCTTAATGCAGCCTATGCAACATCTGGACCGATGTATCTTAGTGACCATGAAGGTGTAGCGTCTACTACTTTCCCAAAGGGCACAATGACTCTTGGAAGGGCTGCAAATCGAGCTGTGTATGGTGGTCGAGTCACAGCTATGGGGAGTAGTCCAAATATTGCTTCAGCTGGACTTTCTCACACAGATGTCCTTTCTTATACTGATCAGCATGGAGGTCTGACCACATCTTCACATCATCATCATCATCAAGTTCCCTCTATGCTGAGACAGGTAAGGGATAGCACCATGCTAGATCTACAGGCTCAGCTCAAGGAACTACAAAGAGAGAATGATCTTCTGAGAAAAGAACTGGATATCAAGGACAGTAAGCTGGGATCTTCCATGAATAGCATCAAGACTTTTTGGAGTCCTGAGCTAAAAAAGGAAAGAGTCTTGAGGAAAGAAGAAGCTGCCAGAATGTCAGTTCTTAAAGAGCAGATGAGGGTTTCTCATGAAGAGAACCAGGTAAGTAATCCTGAAAGTTTATTTCTACCAATTTACAACTAAGCACTTAATATTTTGCTTATGATACTGTGACCTGTATTGGAGCAAGTTTGGCATAATCAACAGGAATTCTGTGTCTTGTATATCTGCCTCTGGCTGCTAAGCAGTAGGAAAGCACACTAATAAGAAGCTGGATGTAGCTTATAATTTCCTTGATGCAGCATTCCTTTACATTATTGCTGAGGAGAATGACTGACTGACTTTGCCACTACCTGTTTTCTTATTTGTGAGACATTCTGTAGTATTTTTTTCAACAGCAGTCTAAATACATTCTGCAGGCTTTACTGAAGAGGGAATTGTACCACTTCTACACATAGCTGGAAAAGTATGAGCAAGTATGTGGGGACACATTTTGTATAAGGTGCATAGGGATTTAGCGGCCTAGTTTCCATGAAAGCTAAAAGGAGACATGATATTAAATCCCATTGATTACATTTTATAATATTCTGTATTATACCAACCATGAAGTAAACAGGAATTGTGCTCTGTCAGCTACTTTCCTTAAAGAGACCTATCCTTAGGAAATGAACAATTTGAAAATGTTTAGTTATATTGGAAGTGTAATTACTAATGTTTCCATTCTCTGTTATAATATGATTAAAGATATAGTCATTAATGATTCATATTATTCATGATTAAATATATAGTGCCATCAGCAGAAAAGTAGCTATTCTGAGCTGTTTCCAAGAAGCGATATAGATCAATGGCAAAGGTGAGACTGCAAGTTTCTATTTTGCACAAGTTTCCTACACACACTTTCATTGATGGTCTTGTGTATTTAAAGCTGCCCCTTTTTAGAACATCTATTGATTCTCTTATGAAATAATATAATACATAATATGTTCTTCATCCTTAGAGATCTCCAATCTATGCTCCTCCATTGACAGGCAAGCAGCAATAATCAGGGTTTTTGATGCCTTCTTTTTCCCAGGTTTCTAATCACCACTATTGCTTTCTCTGTGCAGAAGCACTACTAGTAGTGTGCCTCTCTGAACTTCCCAGTGCATTTAGATGTTTCAGTGTATATTATTTCTATCTCCACAAATATTTAAGTAGAGTACCATGTGTGACTGGGTGAAAGCACTAGGTCAGCTTTTCAGACTTGATCTTTCAAGATATGTCTCAAGACTTTCTGGAGTCCTGAGCTAAAAAAGGATCTTTCAAGAAATATCTCAAGATTTCCTTCAGTTCAAAAAAATCAAGTATTGAGCAAAATTCAGAATTTTTGTCCTGTGGAAAATTCTGACATTTCAACATTTTTGTTTTCATTCTAAATCAGAATGAAAAGTCTCAATACTTTTCATAGAACAGAAATTTAAAAAAAAATTCAGTTCAGAAATGTCACATTTCTGTTCTGTTTTGATCAATTGTTTCAACATTTTTGATCAAAATTAAACATTTCAACAGTCGCAAACTCAAAACATTTTGGTTTGGTTTGGTTTGTTGAAATGACCCCAAATGCTTCATTTCCAGTCAGTTCAACATTAAACTGCCATGTTCCCATTTTGGAACATTGCCTTATGGGAGGTGTGGTTTGGGAGCTTGATTCCTCCATTGTCTCCTATAAACCAGACTACTACAAAATGCAGATTTGGGTCATCTGAAACATTTCACACATTTGTGTTGAATTTGCTGAATTGTTTCACTCTGGGAGGAAAAAAACCAAACAAAATTCCCAAACCAGAAAAACTCTTTGTTTTGAAAAAAGAAAAGGAGTACTTGTGGCACCTTAGACACTAACACTGAATGCATCTGATGAAGTGAGCTGTAGCTCACAACAGCTTATGCTCAAATAAATTGTTTAGTCTCTAAGGTGCCACAAGTACTCCTTTTCTTTTTGAGAATACACACTAACACGGCTGCTACTCCGAAACCTCTCTTTGTTTTGACATTTTCTAAATAACTCTTTGTTTCAAAATTTACTTTAACTTTTCTTAATTTTTTTAAATAAAATTGAAGTCCAAATTTTTTTATTTTGGGTTGAATCAAATGTTTCTTTTCACTCACAATAAAATTATTTCTCAATTTTCTGGTCTAGGCAGCAAGACAGTAGTGCATGAATGTAGTACTTGTCCAGGTACCAAACTGACTGCCATGGAGACTGAAGACCTCTGTTTATAGTTAATGCACTTGAAAATTTCATTCTAGTTGCTGTTATATTCTGTATTCTTCAAATTCTAGAACCCATAATATCTCTAAAACTGAAATGAATTTATAAATTTGTCTCTTGTATATGTACTGTAGGTTCTACCTAGGTACCTCAGTTTTAATCTGGAGGGGACCACTTCTATTATGTGAGGGTGGATTAGCTGATATATGTTTGTACAGAATTTGAAGATTCCAAGTGCTGTATAGATGCTAAGTATCACTATTCTCATCAGTGCTTCACTGTCTGCACCTATTCAGTCCTTGGTTTATCTTAAGAATGCCCTTGAGCGTGCCGGTCTTGGTGATGTTTCTTGTGATATGGACTGAGACAACCAACAGCCTTAATATGGTAATGAGTTTCAGTCACTCCTAATCTCTTCTATATTTAAATCAGCAATCTAGAAGCAAAAGTAGCTTTTTTCCATTACCAATCCCCTGCGCCATTCAATCTTCTCCAGAAAACAAACTTAATGGAGGTAGTACTTTTCCATGAGCTGGATTGGTTTAATCCTAACCCTGAATGTCAGTCTCCATCTCACAGGATGGGGAGCTCATCTGGAGTCAGAGGACTCAAGCAAACTGGACATAATCCAAAAGAGAAATCCACATAAAGAGTGTGTAGCTCAGGTTAGTAAACTTGCACTTCAGTTTTTTCAGTGCTCTTTAAATCAAAGCAGTGCTTATTTACACACAAACCTTAGTTCTTGCCCTCATCAAAAGCAAGGGACCCTGCACCTCTACCTTCTGCATTCAACCTTCTAATTCAAAAGTGGGGTTGTATAGCAAGGAACTGGTCACAACAAGATCCAGCACAAAACTCTTTGCCTGGGCTTGGCTTACAGGTCTGTTGCAGCTATCAGCTGCTGACCATCTCCTTTTGTCTTGCATGTCAAAGGGTTCCTTTCTGCATTCTGACACGGCAGCTCTTCCTATAATGATCTTGCTTGTGAAAGTTTAAATGTAGAGAGATTGTGGCTATCCGATATAGTGTCTGATACTCTTTTACAATCTAGGTGTTCCATGTGATATTTATAATCTTCTCCCTTCAGTTTTATAGGACCACGGGAGGGGTGTTCACCAGCCCCAAAAGGGTTAAGAAAGCTGAGAAAGGGGCCAGTTAGTGAGATAGGCCACACATGAGGGATTTAAGCTGGAGAAGCAAGCCCTGACTGTAAGATGGAGCTCAGCTGAGGCTGGACTACCATAAAGCCAGGAAGCTGGCACCAGAAAGGGTTGCAGTAAGGAAGTCTGAGAGGGAAAGATGGCACTAAGGGAAAGAGTAGGACCTCGGGGAGCCTGGCCCTGAGGGAAGGACATACCCAGAAGAGAGAAGGGTGCAGAAGAAAGCCAGTGTGAAGCGAAGTAGGAAGCAGCCCAGGGGAAAAGCCAGCAGGATTGGGGACTCAACAGACTTTGGCTGTGTGTTGTAGGGTCCCCAGGCTGGAACTTGGAGTAGTGGGTGGGCCTGAGTTCCCCTGCCAGTCACTGACTAAGTGGCATCACCTGGACAGTGGGTCTAGTGGGACTCTGCCCCAAAAGGGGAAACCACTTAGTGGCCTGGCCAGAGGACTGAGTTATGAAGAGGAAGCTGCAGCTCCTGGAATGAGAGAGGGGCTGCAGATTGTGAGAGAATGCAGGGGGAGGTGTGGGACCTGGAAGAGAGCTAATCCCCAGAACAGCCCTGAGGAGGCTCCACCCATGGTGAGTGAGTGGACTCCTGTGGCAGACCAGAATAAAGAAATTGCTCTTTACCTCATATTTTGGAATTTGTTTACAGGTTTATTGGTTGTTTGAGGGTCTGTTCTCTTGTTCTATAAAATTTCACACCTTTGAGCTTAGTCAGCATTTTTACTGTTAGAATTTATATAATCACACTGTATTGTGGTGGGCTTTCTTAGGGCAGTGTCATTTTAGTGCCTTCAGTCCAGAGATACTATTTCCTATATAGTCTAAGTCTGGTTCTTAATGACTACAAACTCTGCCTTTATTATTACATTAAGGCATTCTCTAGAGACTGGTTTCAGAGTAACAGCCGTGTTAGTCTGTATTCGCAAAAAGAAAAGGAGTACTTGTGGCACCTTAGAGACTAACCAATTTATTTGAGCATGAGCTTTCGTGAGCTACAGCTCACTTCATCGGATGCATACCGTGGAAACTGCAGCAGACTTTATATACACACAGAGAATATGAAACAATACCAGTGGGGTGGGAGGAGGTATTGTTTCATATTCTCTGTGTGTATATAAAGTCTGCTGCAGTTTCCACGGTATGCATCCGATGAAGTGAGCTGTAGCTCACGAAAGCTCATGCTCAAATAAATTGGTTAGTCTCTAAGGTGCCACAAGTACTCCTTTTCTCTAGAGACTATTTCTTTAACTCGGAGTGTAAGTAAATTAATAATCTGTTTTGAGTTCCTTCCATTTTTATCAGGAGATCTTCCTTTCTGTCTTTTTTGGGTCTGGATCTTTGCAAGAAAGGATATCTTTGATGCTGCTTGGATATTTAAAGTATTTAAATATTACATTACATATTTAAAATTACAATAGTCAAAGAACTATTGAGAGAGTGGGAGACTGTTCCCCTTTTTTCTGGGCCCCAAAAAGCGGGTGCCGGGATTTTCCATAGCTCAACTGATTCATTGCTATTATCTCTGAAGCTTACAAAGCTGAAAGAGTGCTTTCCTCATTTGTAAATTAGGGCCCTCTTTTGTTGGGGAGAGAGAAGGATCCTATGCAGTGGAGGTCTATAAGGACAGCAACCTGGTCAGTCTGACATCCCTTTTAAAAATACTTTCCCCTCTGCAGCTATGTCCT